CTCCGGCGGTGTCTGCGCAGCCCGCCCTGGGGCAGCGCCGCGGGCAGGGCCGGCCTGGCCGGTGGTCCCGGCGGAGGGACGCACCGCTCTCCCCCGAACCTCGCTGGTCTGTGCTGTGAGTCGTCCCGGCCGCAGAGGGGCCTCGTCCCCGGGCCGAGCGGGCCCCGGCGAGGCGGGGGAGGCCGTGAGCCACAGGTCCAGGCCGCGGGGCTCCGGGTAACGTGCAGGTGAAGGATCCTGCCCAGCCGTCAGGCATCGGAGAGTAATTAGGAGGAAAGCCAGTGATGAAACTGTTCCTGTGCTCTTATGTGTCGTTTGGGTGGTGAAGGGCCACACTTTGAACGTGAAGAATAAAAAGAACAAGCACTGAATGACCCTGAGGTCTTCTGAAAAAAAACCAACACGGCTGTCATCGTGCAGGAAAGGTTCCTGTACTTCAATGCTTGTGCAAAAGGGGAACAAAAAAGGGCTTTGGTAAACTTAGCTGTGGCCTGTCTAAAGCTTTTGTGTTGTTCAGCAACACCTCTTGTTGCTGTCACTTGATTCTCAAGCTTAGGGTTTTAAGTAGGTCTATTCCTTTTCGGTCAAGGAACCTCAGAGGTACCAGGCTCTAAGAAAAGGGGAACAGTCTGTAAGTTTGCAGATGTTCCTCTGGAATAATTCCCTGACTGGCAAATAACCAATCTGTTTTTAACTTTGAGTAGTTGTGGGTGTTGTTTTTCCCTATTTTTTGGTTAGACTGTTTAGACTGGGGACCCAGTACAAACTCAGGTCAAACGATTCTAATGGGGTGCATCATAAGAAAAGGGTTTCCCGTCTCTCTCTTGCTCCCTGCTGACAGCTAAGTACTCTCATGTAACCACTTGTCAGCTGTAGCACAGTGTTCCCTTCCTTAAGGCGCTGCAAAATGCCCTCTCAGCAGACAACTATCACTAGAGGAGGGTCTGTTTGCTGCTGCTGTCATGGGTTGAATCTAATTAGCCAGACTGTGTGTGTTGAACACCAGAGCCTTGTTGGGCAGGGTCAGAGGCAGACCTTGCTGGCTTTGGTAGCAAAAATACAGGCAACTGCTCCCTCGTGCAGCTTCACTCGTGACCGCTCAGGGGAACAGCAACAGAAATACTTCTTTGTTGGACACACATCTGATCTTTCATGTTGTGCTTGACTGAGGTCTACTGGCTGAAACCAACAGGCACAGTGAAATCTTAGGAAAGGGCTCTGATCTCCTGGTACTGCCAGTTTGTCTACCATCTGTGCTAATAAAATTTTGAACAGGAAATGTACAGTTTTACACAGTTACGTAAAGAGATTGTGAGCTGAACAGAAAGTATGTTTGACCCCATCTTGTATAATATTAAATAACCTAGTTTCTGCATCTTCAACAGGTCTTCAAGGAGGTAAGACATCTGTTCTCTGGGATGACCAGACAATTGATTTGGATCGAAGCCATTAAAGAACAAGTCATTAAACACTGGAGGTTGGGCTCAACAATCTTCGGAGGTCCCTTCCAACCCCTAATATTCTGTGATTCTGTGATTTCAGGAAGTGTTGCCTCTATGGAGAGCTGGGAATGGCAATTGTATATAGATCATGCATCTAACCCCCAGACTGATTAACTATGAATGAAAGATGAAGAAATACCTTTAAATCCCCAAAGACATGACTCCAGACAGAGGATATGCACACTTGCATTTGTAAATAACCCTCAAATTGAATACTATATGGAAAATATGTATTGAATTATTCCGTGAAAACTATCATTGACTCTCAGAATTTATTCTCATGTTAACCAGGAATAATGAATTCAGAAAAGAATCTGTCCTTTGGAAAAGGGATGGGATGTCTAACTGAACAGTCAATTCCCAGTCCTGATGTCTGAGCTAAGTTTTGGAGAATGTAGGCCAAGAAACGACAAATCCTAGCATGATGATGTGTGCTATGGTTGTTATAACATCAAAACAAAAGATTGCCAGCAGCTCAATGTGGTAAGTAAAACTTAGTTTAAATTCTAAGGTTGTATTGTACTGCAAGGCAAGACAAATCGGAGTGATTTGGGGTCCTTGTTTGCAGCAGTGAATTCAAATGGAGTGCAGTGGATAAACTCTTCGGTGGACATGCTTCATGGCTAAACCTAAATACTGCTACATTTCATAAAACAAAATAATACAAAAAACCTTTACATTTAGAGCAGCTAAGAATGTACCAAAGTCTGAGGCTATCAGTATGGAGCTTCTTGTGCAATGAGGTGACTAAAACTGCACTAATTACTTTAATGCCTTGATGATTAGAACTCAAGTGTGCTACACTAATTTTGGTTTAAAATTAAACAAAATTCTTTGTTTCCTTCAAAATTATTTCCATTTGCTAAGCATTTTACAAACGCATGTACAGAATCCATGGTAGCTCTGACAGAGCATGTAGTTGGCAATTCCTTGTATCTCCCAAAGGGAGGACAGGGGGTTAGCCTACAAAGTTCAATAGGTTTAATCTAGTTTGTAAGGAATTGTGCAAATTGGCCAAATTGTTTTTTCAAATTATCTGAGTTATCTTGCCACCTTAATTACCTCAACCCTGCCTGTTCCCCGCCCCGCCCCCCCCCCCGCAGATTACACTGAAGAATAAAGTTCCATGAAGTGTCGATATTGTAAGTTTTCCAGGCAATGCCACAGAAATTTAATAATGCAAATGCTTAGTCAAATCTTATCTTAATCTCTTGGTCTGTAAATCTGGACAAGAAATCTCACAAGAATATGCTCTCCTGTGAACTTTCTGGTACTTCCTGCTTTTAATTTGGCCAAAAATACTGCAGAGAGAAGTGCAACACAGCACTTTTTCTCCCAGCTGGAATTAGGAAACGCAGGTTATGAAAAGTGAAAAACTGAAAGTAGAGGAAAATTATCCAATTTTTTTCCAAAACCTCTTTAAAATTTTTTAATTGAACTGGTTTGTTAATCTGGAACTATTAATGACTGAGATCCCAATGGGTGGATTTATAAAAAATAATTGAATTATAATAGCCAGAGTTAAAGTGTGTATGATTTGAAAATATATTTTGTACCAGCACCTATACTGCATGATAAATATCAAATTAAGGAATAAATATTGTGCAGTAGGTACTGCTGGCAGTTTATACACTATGTATTAGCATAGATACATGCAAGCGTTTAAAGACACAGTCATGTAGCTCCACCTTTCAGTGAAGAAAAGATTAAAGATTGTTTAACAGTTACTGAAATGCAGTTTGCTTGAACATTAGTATTTTGAAGATGTTAACCTTAGAGTTGCTGAGGGTAACTTGAAGCACAAGGCTGTGTGTACAGAAAACTGATCAAAGCTTTGTCCTCATCATTAGTAAAAAATATTTTGTCTTGTGATTAAGGTGGTGAAGGCAGCTGCATGGGTTTCAAAGCACCCAAACAGATCTGCTACGTATATTTTTGTACTGCACAAAATCAGAGCCTCCTGTCAAATGCAAAACAAAACAGCACAAGCTGAAAAAACTGGCAAGTGCTACTGTAACTTAAAATGTTTGTATGCATTTTGTATGCCTATATACTGTTACAGGTCCCAAGACACAACAGTATTATGTTAAAATCAGCTTAGAACTCAATTAGCTATACAATTGAGAGGCAAGTTAAACAGAAACAAAAAGCTGATCCAAAACAATTTCCAGACATGGTGTCACCAGATCCTCCACAGGGGCAATAGCTGTTTTTACTAAGGTGGTCCAATGAAGAGCTGAAAAGGTCAGAGTGTGGATTAACTTTTTTTTTTTTATTTCCCATGGAGTCTTCTAAATCCATGCTGGCAAAGCTTTCTATATGTAACTGATACTGCCTCAATGATTTTTCTCTCAGCTGAATTTAAAAAAAAAAAAAAAGTCTATTTCAGTAGTTGAGATATGTCAGAATATGCACAAATTTAGCAAACTGAAGGTTCAGAGAATTACCTACACTTGACAGTTTATTTAGACTGAGAAATACAAATGTTGGGTGTTATGTAGGGTAATTAAAAAAGAAAAAAAGAATTAAATTATAAATGGTTTTCCAAGTACTGTGCTAAGGAATCATCAGAGGAATAACTGATTATTTTGTTATACACGGAAGAACCTGGGGATCATGCTAAAATACCCATTTTATACTTGAAAGAAGGAATATGAAGAGCCTTGAACTTGGCAAGATCATTCCAATCCTTGGTAATTAGCTTTAAGTAGTCCTTAAAAACAAGCATCCCAGCTTCTGAATTAACTACAGAACAAAATGATTTGTGCCCTCTGCCCATTGAGTGTTAAGAAATTCTAAATTAAAAAAGTCTTAGTCAAAATGCATCTGCACATACCTAACGCAAACTGTCTTTGTCAAGATGGGTTCTGGGTATAAAGTATGATATTCTGTACAGCCAGGTGCTGTGCAAAGCTTTGCTTTCAGAGTGGGCAAAAAAAGAAAAGCCCAATAAACTGGTTCAGTTACACTGCACATGCAGGATACCAGTGTCCCAGTCCAGTTTTTCCTCTTGGACCCACAAAGACTTTTAGATGTGTCTGTGAGACACTTAAACCTCCTATTAAACCTGTACTCTCTGGTCAAACTATGGATATGAGATTAACAAAGTGGTGTATTTTGAAACATCCTCCATTCTGCTTATTTTGCAGTTTAAGCACACACCAGTGGGGGGACAGATGGACTAGGTAATCTTAGAGGTCTTTTCTAACCATGATGATTCTGTGATTCTGAGACCAGAGTGTCTTTTAAACTCATCTTAAAGTTACTAATTTATTTAGCTTATACCCCAGAAATTTCTAGTTTCCCTGCAAAATGGGAACCTTTTGGTTGCATATATTCAGCCAGTTGCTTTTAACTCTCTACTGTACAAGCCAAAACAGGGAGAACTTATTTTATGGCTCTTAGTCAGCCGAGTGCATGTTGCAAACACTTTGTGTGGATCTGGCAAATGAACATACGAGAGCTCTGTTTTATGGACTCCAAGGATCTGAGTCGTGTAGGAACACCAGTTATTTGCATGTCCCTAGAAAAGGTCCCCTGGATGGTGTCAGGGAGGGAATGAATCAGACTGCTACTCAGCACAGGAGGAATATGACACAACAAGTCCACTTGCTGCATCACAAGAGAAGAGTGGTGAAGGTCCTTACACCATGGCTGCACATCTGCACTGTGAAAATCCCACCTGTACACCAATTGTTTATTATGGATTCTGCATCAAATAGCCAGCCCTCTGGAGGGAATTAATAATTCAAAG